ATGATCCGTTTTCCCAGCGCGTGTTATCACCACACAACCAATCACCCCGCGCTGCCACACGATCACTCCCTGTCAGCGCCCGTCACCAACACACAGCCAATTACCACCACATAACCCATGACCCCTCGCTGCCCTATGATCCCTCACCGTCAGCGCGCGTCACCGACACACAGCCAATCACCACGCGCTGCCACACGATCCCTACTGTCAGCGCGTATCACCACTACATCTGCACAGGCCTCATCATCTTCTTCTTGGTCTTCAACTTCATCAAGTACTCTTTCTGCCATACGAATCAAAGCCCGTCTGTTTTTATCTTCACCAGTCTCATCATCATTGAAACACTTCAAATATCTGCATGTTTCCATGAGCTGGGCTTTCTGCAGCTGATTCAAAGCAGTACTGGCCTTGTCCTGCAGCTGTTCCAGTGCCATGATGTGAAGACCGTTCAGATCTTTGTACGAATATCTTTATATATTCTGCCTTTACAGTTGCTTGGTCCGTCTCCTTGGAAGAGTTGATCCCCGTCAGTGAACTCTGGGAAACTCTCCTGCCAGGCTCGCCAAAATATGTTGCACACTCGAGATGAAGGAACGTGGGCAGGTGCTCCAAATCGAGGGCAAGCACATTTATTTATTGTGGTTCATATGAATCTTGGGAAGAACAGCACCGTCACTCTGTAAAATGCAACAGCGCGTGCTACACGCAGCACTCCTTCTGAGACGCCATTAACAATGTGGCTGGTTTACACGTGCGGTTATTCATTAACCCTTTCTCTTAAACCCAATTCTACTACTGATAAACCATCCTTATCTTTGACACTCACATTTGCACATCACTATTCGAATATTACTTTAATCCTAAGCTGTATGTCTATCTATACCATCCACTTCTATCGGTATCTTACACCCATTATATGTACTGTATGTGTACAGTATACGTACTGTATATCACCATTGTACAGCTTACTACTTTACATGTGTTCTATGCTCAATAGCATTGCAAGAAGTCATACTCTGGGTACATGGGCATGGTTATAGACTAAACAGTATTAGAGTTAGAGAATTACAATGACAGTAACTAATTACAGTGCGTCATCCCTTTACAATGCACAGTGCTAAAACGCCTCTAATTGCATATATCACAAACGAACGATTCAAAGCCAAGCTTAAAGTCTAGAACAGGGGTCCTCAAACTTTTTAAACAGGGGGCCAGTTCACTGTCCCTCAGACCGTTGGAGGGCCGGACTATAGTTAAAAAAAACTATGAACAAATTCCTATGCACACTGCATATATCTTATTTTGAAGTGAAGAAACAAAACGGGAACAAATACAATATTTAAAATAAAGAACAGTAAAGTTAAATCAACAAACTTGCCAGTATTTCAATGGGAACTATGGGCCTGCTTTTGGCTAATGAGATGGTCAATGTCCGGTTCCATATTTGTCACTGCTAGTCGTAACAAGTGATGCAAGTGTGCATCTGTTAGTCTAGATCTGGTTGGAGATTTCAAATGTTTCATTCTGGAAAAAGTTTGTTCACAGACATAAGCGCTGCCAAAGATGGTTGCCATTTTGAGTGCATGGTTCCTGAGATGAGGATGTCTCAGAGGGGAGAAATGCATAGAAATTATGAAGGCTGCTTGACCTGAATGCGTCTTTCAGAGAGTCACAATTCTGCAGTTCAGCCAGTTCCATTTGGTAAATTGTATCCACATTTTCAATGTCAATAGAAAATGGGTTACGGAAAAGCTGTATGTCCTGTTCATGGAGATGAAGCTCTTTAAATCTAAATTGGAACTCCTTTTGCAATTTTTCCAGTGAATCCACACATGTTTTGTTTGGGAATGCAACCAATGGTTTTTCCGCTAACAGATTTTGAGTTGTGGGGAGATGGCAGAAGTTTTCCTCCTTCACTTGTTTGATGAGGAGGCCTAATTTTACTTCAAATGCTTTGACATGTGATTGCATATCACAGATGAGCTTCCCCTTTCCTTGAAGTTGCACATTGAAACTGTTGAGTAGCTCTGTTACATCTGTCAGAAAGGCAAGGTGCCATTTCCATTCTGCATCATTGAGCTCTGGTACTTCTTTGTTTTTTGAAAACAGAAAAGCTGTAATCTGTGGAATTAAGTCATAGAAACGTTTCAAAACTCTCCCTCGACTCAGCCAACGGACTTCTGTGTGGTACAGAACATCTTCATAGTCAACATTTAGCTCAGACAGAAATTCCTGAAATTGTCTGTGGTTTAGTGCATGAGCTCTAGTGAAGTTAACAGAGTCCCACTTCAGTGATTTACTACACAGCGCTTGTTAGTGGATGAGGCAGTGTATGGCTATTGGATGAGAATGGTTATGTTTGTCCATCTCTTGGTTAATGCGAGCAATTACTCCTTTCTTAGACCCCACCATGCTAGGAGCACCATCAGTTGTCACACTGGCTAGTTTAGCTCAGTTCAGCTCCAAACCATTCACAGTTTGGCAAACCTTTTCATAGATATCCTCTCCTGTAGTTGTTCCTTTGATGCTTTGCAGAGCAGCAAGCTCTTCTGTGACTTCGAAATAGTCATTCGTCCCACGAATAAAAATTAGAAGTTGTGCAGAATCACGAACATCATTGCTTTCGTCGAGTGCCAAGGAAAAATAGGAAAGTTTTTTTGTGGAGTTTTGCAAATGCTGATGGAAATTGTCTCCCATTTCTTCAATCCTCCGTGTAATTGTAGGTCCTGAAAGACTCACTGTACTAAATAAATCGGCCTTCTCTGGACACATCTCTTTGGCAACAGAAAGAAGGCATTCTTTAACAAATTCTCCCTCAACGAATGGTCTGCCAGTGCACACTATTAGCTTGGCAACTTGAAAACTTGCTCGCAGTGATGAAATATTTAGCTGCTTCTGCTTCACAAAAGTATTTTGCTGAGTTGTTAATGTATCTTTCAGTTTTAATATTTTATCTTTTCTCACTTCTCCGACCAAACAATCATATTTATCTTTATGTTGAGTTTCATAGTGTCGACGTAAATTGTATTCTTTGAACACAGACACTATATTCTGGCATATCAGACACAGCTCTTTCCTTGTACTGCATGAAAAAGTAATCATAAGTCCACTGTTTTTTGAATATCCTACACTCCGAGTCAATTTTTCTCTTTCTTTACATCATTGTTTCCTAGGGAGTCAAAATTGCTATTAGTAAATTACCAATATATGTACAGCGCTACAAAAACAATATACCAGCAATAACTTTGCCCACACAGAGACATACAGACTGCACTGCCCATCAATGCAGTCTGATTGGGGGAACTCCGCTTTTACCCCAGGCTCACACTGGTGCGGGTGCCATTAAAAAGTTAATTACACCTGCAGTTTTGTTCACAGATCGCAGTGCGATCTGCGAACTCGCATAGGAATCTGATCGCATGGGGGAGAAGACCCATGCGATCCGATTCCACTGCAGGAAAAAAGAAGGCACATGTGCCTTTTTTCTTCTGAATCTAATGCAAGTTCAGCCATACAAGCATATGGCTGAACTCGCACTGCTCAGAGATCGCAACAGTATGAACCGGGGCTTACACAACATACAACATATAACCTCATATAATTGAATAGCAATCAGAATATAAATGCACTTACTGTCATTTAAATTGGGTTTCCTACTCCTCGGCTGTCTGTCACTGACCAGCACGAGAAAACAGCAGGCAGCCCCTCCAGAGATCAGAGATCACTCTGTTATTACCCCTCTATCATTTACTCAGCACACGGGAATATCACTGGGAGTGGAGCCGAGGGGCAAGTGAGGGAGCTGAGGGAGGGAGAGCCAGTCAAGCGCAGCCAGGGGAGGGCTGGCAGCCTTAGGCCTGGGGGGCAAGTCCAGTCAATTGGCCCATTGAACCATTCACCAGCGCAGCCTAATGAGTGCCCACCGCCGCAGCTCAATCATTGCCCACCGCCGCAGCTCAATCAGTGCTCACCAGCGCAGCCAAATCAGTGCTCGTCACCACAGCCCAATCAGTGCTCACCAGCGCAGCCCAATTAGTGCTCACAAGCGCAGCCCAATTAGTGACCATGGGCCGGATAAATGCCCTCGGTGGGCCGCATGTGGCCCGCGGGCCGTAGTTTGAGGACCCCTGCTCTATGGCTTCCGGGAGGGTTCACACTAACGTGCTTACGTCATCATACGTAAGCACGTTTCAGTCAACAATATTATTTGTCGCCACCTAGTGGAATCTTTAATAAAATAAACTGAGTGGATTGTAATAATAGTGAGTATAGAAACAAACAAGGAGATGTATTGTAAGAGTCACTTTATTTTTCATTAATATTAAAGTAGTGAAGTTGCCTTTACATGCTTAAGCTGTTAATTTATCCATTGCATGGGTGGACCTTATCCTTATCAATCATCCAGACATTTGCCCCCCCTGAGATATTTTGCAGGAGCCGCCACTGCTTTTATTCCTTATAATACAGTAATTGTTATTTTAAACTTCATCACTCCCTGGTGTGTTTTTGGCTTCACGTTGCATTCAATTGCGCTATTCTTACATGCTTCGCGTCAAAATAATGGATTCTATCGTGGGCTAAATTCACTCTCTGTCTATTGTTTTCCCTGTCACTTTGTTGTTCTTGCGTTTGTCTCTCTGCTCTCTTCTTTCGCACAGTAGCCGACGCTTCACCAAGTCAGACGACAAATTTACACCTCAACCCCCGTAGGAAAAGCCACCAGGGCTGCATGATTTCTTGAATGTAAGTTCTGGCTAACCTGAAGTTACTATGTTTCCCGACACAACTTTCAGTATTCACAGAGCCACATCGTGTTCATATGTATATGAGTCAGTTTATTTCGGGTAAGGCCTATGAAGCTGAGAAGCTGTTTTTCAATGGTGACCTGGCTAAAGAGGCAAGCAAGTTACTCGGGGAGGGAAGGGTTTACATAGAACGAACGCAGGGGCAATTTTATGAACACGACGAATCATTATTAATAAAATAATAAACAACTAGAACTATGTACGATGGAAATCTAGCAAGCAATCCAAAAGAACACGAAGCATGACACGAGTAAGATTAACTCACATATGGCATTTAAAAGTAATACACCACTGATACAACTGCATATTTCTTTGATGTACTAAATAGGTTAACAAAGAACAATGGCTTCATATGAACACTTTGTGACGCTGTATAGCACACGACAATAGATCATATTTTCAAAATTCCGTATTCCCCACACACCTACGCATCTGTAGGCGGCATCTGGATCCACGTTGTAGCCAGGATAGCAGGAGCACTGATACGTTCCAACCAGATTCGTGCATTCCTGGTCACACGGCTTCGCCTCACATTCATTGATATCTGTATACGGTGCATGAAAAAAAACACACACGCGTGATTACTGGGAAAATTAGATTTAAGACATTGCTTTTAAAATGTATATGCATTGTTTTAATACTCAATCTCTAATGTGCATCGTTTGATTTACATATATAATTAAATATCGCCCTTTGGTGGTTTTACTATTTATTTTAATCAATCAACTTATTTTTCACTTACAGACATTAACAGATGGCTCTAAGCAAATTAAAATAACTTAAAGTTCATAAGAGTGGTTAAGATGCAGACCACTGGAACTCCACTGCTGGCAGAATGGCTCCCGCTAGAGGGAGCTCTGCAGAGGAGGTACACGTGTCCAACTCGTCGCCAAGACATCTTGGAAGTGTGGGATACCCACACTATACCCCACCACACGTGTCTCCTCTGACCGGGTTCACTAACTGTGGTGTCACCCACTTGTATACATAGGTGTGCTGGGTGGACTAACTTTACACAATTCACGACAATGTTGCAACAACTCTCGCACTGGGAAATCGAATCGAACCTGGGTGACTGTCTTAGAGTCCAGTGGGTAACGATTCATTTACATCACCCCAGAAGCATCCTTTGACGTTAAAACCGGAATAGGATTGGCGTTGACAATTGTCAACTCACCTAGGCAGTTCTGCTGGGTCTGATCAAGGGCAAAGCCCTTGTTGCAGGAGCAGGTGGGCCTCTTCGTTATCTGGTCAATGAAGCACTTTCCATTGGTACAGGCCAAAGTACAGGAGACAATGGCTGTGATAATGGAATATACATGGACAAAACGACGACATTTTACAATTACATACCTTGTTAGGAATTAAACGAATTTATTCAACGACAATATTAAGGGATGTTATTGACGAATGTGAGTTCCTTGTTAAGATTAAATTATAGAAGTTACAATACAAGTAAACAGGTGTCTTCACAACCTCCCATTGAACACAATAAGTCACAAATTCATTCAATCATGGGATAAAGGACATTTGCATGAATAATATGGAATTTAAACATAATCTACAACAAGTAAAAATTGTGTTAACATTAAATTAGTTTAAATTACAATGCATATATTGTATATGCAATCCTATTATTATATCAAATAAAGTACAGAATATTAAGTACAGTCGTGTATTTCTAGAGTGATATGTCATCTGTGGATGGATTCAATTGCCCTGCGATGTGGATTTTTATTGAATTTTACGAGAAAATATTTTAAAACAATGCATATTTTTACATTATTGTGTTTACATGATTATTATTATTCTACTGAATTATAACACCAACATCACGCTGTCATCGACTTTGTGAGAACACAGCATCATGCAATGGTTTTCAGAATATTTTTTTTCAAAATATGTATTTATCCTGGATGAATCTGATGAGCTATAAAGCTCTTTTTTCACCGATGTCCAGTATGGGCGGGTTAGAACGTTACAACAAGAAACAATAAAAAAATACACGATCGGAGTGCAAAGTACAAGAAGGGTAAACAAATCACCCAAACACATAAGAATACAACTAAACCATCCCTATCCTACCAGGTAAAGCCCACTGAGGCATTAACTCATTGTTCAAAAGCGACCTGGTCACAAATTATAGCTCAACAAAGTTAATTATCATTTGGACATTTATAGCAGCAAGTCTAAACGTATGTTTATAAATGTGGAGGGAAAAATCAGAGGACCCGGAGAAAAACTCTACGCGACAACGGGTTGAGACATACAAACTCCAAATATACATGTGTTTATACATGTGTAGAAGTGTAATTGTGTATGGGCACGGATGGCTAACAAACACAAGGGGCGTGGTTAGGGCCGTACACAGAGGAGGTGCTCACACCGACGTCCGCACCTGCATCCCCCACGGGCCCCTCCCGGGGGCCGAGTACTATAAAAGGTGGTGAGCCGGAGGGCTCGAGGTCGAGTATTAGCTTAAACCAGCGAAGACTGAAGACCAGCTAGAATAGGCCCCGGAGCTCCCCTGACTCGCTGTCCTTGTCAGGGCCGACCAGGGCAAGCCGGTGGCGTGGCCCCGAGAGCCCAGACTGACGTTCTTATAAGAGCCGGTCTGGAGACTCAGGGTGCCGGGATCCCAGCTTGACCAGGGCTGGGATAGGTAGCCTCCCCTAGCTCTGAAGTGGAGGACTTGGGCGTAGGTTAGCGGGGTTAGATGTTGTGTCTCCCTGTTAGCCGAGTGAAGGGGACGATACCCCTTTAAGTACTGTGTGTACCCGTTACCGTGCACAAGTTGGTGTTAATAAATAAGTGTGCCTCCTACCCCGTCGTCAAAGCCTCCTGAATACTTACTACACATGTGTATGGGTCGGGATTGAGCCCTCAACCTCCTGCATACCAGGCGAGGAAGATTAGATCTCACCACCGTGGCGCCCCTTAAATAAATAAAGTATATAACTTAAAATCTTGACTTAAAGCTTTCGTGACTGCAGGAATTCATATTGTTTGGGTCTTTCGGTAAAGTCACATAGCTGGGTTCAAAGAAAATAACATAAAATAACAAAAAGACTACGACGTTTCGATTGCAACACGAGCGTTCGTCGTCGTAGTTTTTTGTTATTCTTTGTTCTTTTCTTTGAATCTATTTACGTAACTTTACCGAAAGACCCAAACAATATATAAGACTTTAAATTGCATCTTCAATTACCAGGTTTTGGAAAGGCAGTAAAACAACAGCAAAGACAGTCCCAGATAACACCAAGACATCACTTAAAACCGTGTTTATGCCGCACAACATTTTGCAAAGGCGCCACTAAAATAAAACAAAATACAACTCTTACAAATTTAACTCCAAACATTTACACAACAAAAGCCGACTGTCCATGAAGTGCCATTACAACACTAAACAATATCATAAATATGTAACAAAACAAGCGTAATTTCCCTGACGTATAACTTATACAGTTTTCGTATGCCAAAAAAAACAGGCCAGTGGGAATACACAAGATTTTGGTTGTCCACATGTGTAGACTCGCCACCTCTGCGGTACCAAGGACATATCTCACGAATTCAGAAAGAGGGGAGTACTACGTGCGAATTTCACTGTCTTGAGAGGGGTATTATTATTGCGTAACTACTGTTATATTAATATATTTGTTGAGTTGTTTGTGTGTGTTTGGGGAGCGGTAGTGTAGAGGTTAGCATGCTGCGCTACGAACCTGGCGTTCCCAGTTCGATTCCTGCTCATGGCAAACATCATTGATGATTATCTGAACCAGTTCTGGGCCTTCCCTAAGGCGATTCAGCCTAAAATGAGTACCTGGTGTGGTGTGTACAAACATTGCCACGCGAGAGACAAAGGCGGCCGAGCGTTGTGCTGGCCACCCACCCCCTCGTGTGCCGTTCTGGTCTTCATAGGTGCTTGCTAACAGCACTTGCCCCAGCAGTATGTGAAGGCTATACGGGGGATCTTGATCTGTTTTGGTGTGCTTGTGCACCGCTGATAATGCAGCAGCAGCATCATCAAATAATCTAGTCAGGCCCCTGCAATGGTGGTATGCATTTCACTCACGCTGACAACGTATGCCATCTTGCTGCATCTTGAAGCCACCAAAGCAGCTGCAGTTGTAGCCCTGGCTGTTCTCAAAGAGGTTCAGCTCATTGCACACCTGAGCGCATTTGCTGGTCCCGTCGCTGCACTCGTCAGAGTCTATAGGGGAAACAATGTCGTCAGGCTTAACGGCAATCGCCGAACATTAGCTCTGCATCGTGTATGACCCAGTGTAAACGCAAGATATTTTTTTCAAAGTTAATAACAGACTTTATAGTAGCGCAAAACAACAGATGCCATTGAAAAGTTTCGAACATTAAGGGCAAGAATAAAATGTATGGACAATATCTACAAGAAATAAACGTCAACTGATCACAATTGGAGCTACCTGTGCATAATCAAGAGTACGTATTGCTAACTATATTCTCATTTTGATTCGAAGCTTTCGTGACTGCAGGAATCCATACTTTTTGGTTCTTTCGGTAAAGTTACGCAGGTAGAAAAATAATAGATCACGACGTTTCGATCGCACCACAAGCAATCGTCATCAGGTGGGACAACCACAGCAGGAAAAACTGCTGAAGCAGAATCAGATGGTGGAATTGTTGGCTAAAGTTGGTCGGATGGACAGACACATGGACGGATGTGATGGACAATATCAACAAATGATTGTGCAGCAGCTATGACATTCTTTGCTTCACGCTGACCCAGACGTGTTGAGAGAGGTGGTTCGTACTCTCACGTTGCCCCGCCACACGCGATCTGCCGATTGACTGTGGTTGTAGTACCTATCTGGCTGGGTCGATTTGAAGAAAGGTGCCCATTGTTTTAGTTGTCACGCAGGAATATTTTTCTAAAAGGCAACCTCTGGATTACCAGTGTATACTCATATTTATAGGTATGTCATTAAAACACTGCGTACCAGAATTATTTTCAGTTAACCATGAATATGTTAACATTCCATGAATAGTTTAACATTAATGATGATAATACATGTGCTAAACCACACACTGAAGCAAATAGTTTAGTTACTCAAATGTCATTGAATTGCAATGTCCAAGACAAGTGGATTTATTATTGCATGTGTAGTGCTCGGACCGACACGACAGCTTCTTGTCTTTCCTCGTTTCTTTATTCAATTACATAGTTCCACATTTCTCCCTTCAACACCGCTCAATGTTCTTCCGTAAACTCCAACCCACAACTCTCCGTTAACACCGCGCAATGTTCCTCCGCTCGCTCACTGCGCAACGCTGGCCTCGCTCGCTCCCCTCTGCTCCTCCGTCGACTCTCCTCTCCGCTCTCTCCAGCTCGGCTGCTCTTTGTCAACTCCGTCGTAACTCTCTGCCATCTCTCTCCTCTGATGCTTCCGCTACTCCGCTGCTACCCTACATTATCCTCACTATTCTCCACTGCTACCCTACGCTGTACCCACTCTATCCACTGCTACCCTACGCTGTACTCACTCTATCCACTGCTCTGTCTCTCCATCTGTCCGTCTCTCGTCCCAGGCACCAACTCCCGTTTCATTCCACCATGTCACACTTTATCCCTGAACCAATTACCCTTAATGAGGTCATCCCTCGCGACGCCACTCGCCCCCCCCCCCCCGTGCCACGTGGCGTTGTTTTTCCAGACACACCGGTGCCAATCTCAGATAACAACCCCTCTCGTCCAATCAGCGCCCTGCATCCTTAATTACCCCGGCCACCTGCGGCCCCCTTAACTATCACGCCACCTTAATTTGGGCAACAACAACGGCCAGCCAATCAGCGCCCTGTGTCCTCATTCGCCCTCACTGTCCGCCGCGTGCGCGCATACCGACCCAGCGCGTGACGCGTATCTCAAGTACTACACATGTGATATAGTACTGTATGTCACAATTGTATAGTATGACATATGTTATGGCTTTAAAAAAAAGGGCTTTTCACTATCAGGTTTCATGTTGACTCGCCATTCGTTGGCATGGGTACATCAGAATTAAAGTTTCATAATTTACAATCACTCAATCATGCGGGTACCCACCTGTACTCTGCGTCACGGACACTCCTTCATCGGAGACATTTCCTTTGCCGATGGTTTTCACCGTGACGATGTACTGGACTCTGGGCCTCAACCCAGCAAACTTGGCGGTGAGTGAACCATTATAGTTGATGGAAATGGAGGGAGAATCTATGGGAGCGATGAGCGCCGTGTATTTCTCCACAGCTCCCAACGCACTCAACCAGGTGACCTCCAGGGATGTGTTCGTCACTCCTCGATTCGTGAAAGTTAGGTTTCTTACCGAGCCGTGGACTAAAATTACGGCCGTAGACGACAACGTTGTAAACCATACACCGGATAATGTACTCATTGTGGACAATGAAAGATTAGTGGCCGACGGTAATATTGTGGTGTTCGTTTGATGCTGTGGGGATGTTGAAGCTGTAACAGGGGGTAGAATATGCAAAACAGTGATTTTGTTTAATTGCATTGCCATCACCATTATTTTATCATAATAAAAACACTTTTCAGATACAGGTGCCTAGACTACATCATGGATGAAAGTGTTATTATTACGCCTTCCTGAAAAAAGTTGATATTTTAAAAGAAAGTAATTTCAACTTTTGAAAAATGTATGTGGCTCAGCATATTAAAGTACAACGGTAATTATGTGAACAGCTAAATAAACAAATAGTGCGCCGAGTGCTGTATTTAAGTATCAACATATATTATGTTGGGATGATGCAATGCAGTAATTATAATTAATTTAAAAAAAGTTACTTTTGATCTGGTGATGGAGGGAGGAAATCAACTTACCCGTTGTGTTTCCTGAGACTAGATAATACACTGAAGTTGACGATGTGGATGCTGGAGAAGTTTTATTGGGAGACGGCGTAGTTGAAGTTACAACTGTTGTTGTCACCGATGTCACTGTTGTTGTCGCCGATGTCACTGTTTTGGAAGGTGTCATTGTGAAAAGTGTTGTCAATGGTGATGATGCTGGTGGCGGCTGCGTGGCATTGAGGGCACCAGTCATTGGTGAGGATGGTGGTGGCAGTTGTGTGGCATTGAGGGCACCAGTCATTGGTGAGGATGGTGGTGGTAGCTGTGTGGCATTGAGGGCACCAGTCATTGGTGAGGATGCAGGTGGCAGCTGTGTGGCATTGAGGGCACCAGTCATTGGTGAGGATGGTGGTGGTAGCTGTGTGGCATTGAGGGCACCAGTCATTGGTGAGGATGCTGGTGGCGGCTGTGTGGCATTGAGGGCACCAGTCATTGGTGAGGATGCTGATGACAGCTGCGTGGCATTGAGGGCAACCAGTCATTGGTGAGGGTGGTGGTGGCAGCTGTGTGGCATTGAAGGGCACCAGTCATTGGTGAGGGACGCTGATGGCAGCTGCGTGGCATGAGGGCACCAGTCATTGGTGAGGGTGGTGGTGGTAGGTTGGGTGGCATGAGGGAGGCACCAGTCATTGGTGAGGATTCTGGTGGCGGCTGTGTGGCATTGAGGGCACCAGTCATTGGTGAGGAGTGCTGGGGGCGGCTGTGTGGCATTGATGGCACCAGTCATTGGTGAGGATGCTGGTGGCGGCTGTGTGGCATTGAGGGGCACCAGTCATTGGTGAGGATGCTGGTGGCGGCTTGCGTGGCATTGAGGGGCACCAGTCCATTGGGTGAGGATGCTGGTGGCAGCTGTGTGGCATTGAGGGCACCAGTACATTGGTGAGGAGGGTGGTGGTAGCTGTGTGGCATTGAGGGCACCAGTCATTGAGGTGCTGGGTGGCCGTTGAGGGCACCAGTCATTGGTAGATGCTGAGCAGCTGTGTGCATTGAGGGCACCAGTCATT